GTACACACACACACACACACACACACACACACACACACACACACATTTATTTATTTCTTTATTTATTTTTTCCGGAATTTTCAGAAAAGTCCACTTTCATCTCTGACACATGCACGCATCATCTGATTATGTGATCACTCTTCTCACAATGTATTCAGAGTATAACTAGGGATGTTCCATTCGGGTTTTAAGCTGCCGATACCGATTGTCCTAGAGTGTGATCGGCCGATACCGATCTGATGGATACTGGTCGAGAACTGCTGGTATAGGCTCCAGCGCTCCTGTGACCCTTGTGTGGATAAGCGGCTCGGATAACAGATGGATGGATGAATAATTATCACAATTATTTTGATTGAGGTTGGGATCGCAATTCATACAACAATTATTCATTTCAAAACATAGTATTTATTCAACTACTAAAACGCAACTACTCAGAACAATCATCATAGCTTCATGCCTTTCATACCTGCATGTTGAACACTTGATTCTATTCCTTTTGTCAAGTACAAAATGACCTAGCTAGTAAAAACCAAATTCCTGTGAAGTCGGGATGCCATGTTTTGGCAAGATATTTAATGTTCAATGTGATGAACTTTATTGTTTTTAGGAAATGCTCATTTACGTAGAATTTTGTGGCTGCAACACATTCCAAAAAAGTTGTTAACCATTGTGTTCCATCACCAAACATTCAAGAAACGTTTGGGAACTGAAGACACTAATTGTTGAAGCTTTGGAGGTGGAATTCTTTCCCATCCTTGCTTCATCAACAGTCTGTGGTCTCCGTTTTTGTATTTTCTGCTTCATAGTGCACCACAGATTTTCAATGGGAAACAGGTCTGGACTGCAGGCTGAAGCAGAAATCAAAATCACTGTTACATTTGGATGAATTGCTCAGCCTTATTCCGCTGTGAAAATAAAGAGATGAAAAATAATCTGCCCCCCACCCCCAAAAAGAGTCTTACTTTTTTACACTTTGTTGCTGCTGTTATAAATCTTCCAAATCAAAATTGTCTCTCACAGAACAACATGACGGGCCAAGTGGGAGAATATGGGACGTCCTGCATTGCTTTTGTCTCCCGCCAGAGGACCACTTCAGTCACTCTGATGCTTTATTAGGCCCAAGAAGCCCCTCCGGTGGGGAGGGGTGGGACGGCAGACATTCGGATTGGTCCTCAGTAGAACCTGTGTGGAGCGGTCCACCAATTGAATTTGCGTCAGGGTGAGTGTCGCTTCCTCTTCCCTGCTGCTGGCTGCTGCAGTCAATCAGCTTATTGTGCATGCATGCGTGCGTCTGTGTGCGTGTGTGTGCCCCCGCCCCCACCCTCCTGTTTTCCTCTACCAACCAGCCCTCCCCAGCCTCACACACTATCGTGAAACAACACTCAGACACTGGTGCCACATGAGTCTCTGCATTGTGTGTGTGTGTGTGTGTGTGTGTGTGTGTGTGTGTGTGTGTGTGTGTGTGTGTGTGTGTGTGTGTGTGTGTGTGTGTGTGTGTGACTGGGTGGAGAAATTTATACCAGCTTGTGCGTGTCTTTTCCATGCAACAAGAACACTGCGGATCATTGCAGATACATTGAAAAGTCTTCTTCACAAGGTTTGTGTTGTTGTTGTTTTGTATTTTGAGCATGAGAAAGTACTTTTGCATTGTAACTTGTTGGTGTTAAAGCTCATTTTACTGGATGTTTACTGGACTCCTGCATACTCACACGGAGCCGCAGTGAAAACACCGAATGGTTAAAATAAGACAGAATGTAACTTAAATCGATGATGATAATCTACAAAGCTTTCCCTAAAATGAAATAAGAGAGATAATTTGTTTAGCTGGATCGCCAATGTTTTAACTCATCCATCAATTTGAACTGCTTATCCACAAGTGTAAAAACTAAAAATAGAAAAAGAAAAGCTAACTTTGAGTTCACTGTGGAAGAACAAGCCTTTTGGAATGAAGTAGAGTTTGTGCTTAGCTAGCAGAATCAACGTTCTTGAATCAGTTTGAAACCTTAGTTAAGGCTTTTAAACCCAACCTGGCTTGAAAATGTCATTTGAAACACTTCACGCGTGCTCGCAACCCACTTTCAAACTGCAAGCCAGTCTTAAAGCCCTAATTTGACACAGTAACCCTTATTTGAAACCCTAACCTTGGCTTGAAACTGTCATTTTAAGGCCAGCTATCTTTTTTTTATCTGAAATGTGCAAATTTACCAGTTGTGATTGACTTGAGTATTTGAAATTTACGCCCAAGATGCATGTGCTGTTTTGGTTCATTTGTTTCCCAGCCTTTCTTTTTTTTTCACTTGCAGGGCAGGCATGAAAACAATACTTAAAAAAACAAAAACAAAACTGAAACAAGAATTTGTACTGCATTGTAGACCTGACCGGTTTTTGGTTGTCGTTGAGGATATTTAAGTTATTGGTTCTTTGTTACAGAATACATTCATTCATATGTTTATGTTTATGGGTGCTCCTCCTTCAGTCAGATCAAAATTCTTTCATTTATGGTACTGGCAGACATAATTTTTGTTTTCATAGAAACATACTCTGTACCATTTAAGATAAGACAAGATAAAATAACCTTTATTTGTCCCACACTGGGCAAATTTGCAGTCTACAGCAGCAAAATTGGAGGGAAGGGGGGGGGTGTAGAAAAGAAAAAACAAATTGTTGCATGCACAAAATAAATAAATGTTTCAGAAAAAGAACTGAACACAGGATAGAATGCAATATAAATATAAGTTGCATATATGCATCTTATGCATACATACGGGGGCTGTGCGATTTACAATAGTTACAGGTTTTCACACATGTTTATTCAGCAGCCTGACAACAGTCGGTAGGAACGAGCGGCGGTATCTCTCCTTCTTGCAGTGCGGGTGTAGCAGTCTCTGGCTGAAGGAGCTACCCAGTGCTGTCAGGGCGGGCTGGAGGGGGTGGGAGGGACTGTCCATCATAACGTTTAGCTTAGTTAGCATCCTCCTGTTGCCCACCTCCTCCAGAGTGTCCAGGGAGCAGCCCAGGACAGAACTGGCCGTCCTGACCAGTTGCTCCAGTCTCTTTCTGTCCCGGGCCGAGATGCTGCCAGACCAGCAGACAATGCCATAATGGATGGCCGAAGCCACCACCGAGTTTATAAAGGCAAATGTGCCATTTTGATGTTGTTTGACGGGTCCACACAGTGGAATGGTGGATAACTCGTTAGCACATCCGCCTCACTGTTCAGAGGTCGTGGGTTCAAATCCAGGCTCCAGCCTCCTTGTGTGGAGTTTGCATGTTCTTGATGTGCTCATGTAGATTTTTTTCTGGTTACTCCGACTTCCAGCCGCATTCCAAAAACATGCAGGGGAGTTTGATTGAAAACACAAGTTTGTCCTTCCGTGTGGATATGAGTGTGAAAAGTTGTTTGTTTATACAATATATGCCCCGTGATTGGCTGGCGACCGGTTCAGGATGTAACACACTTCTCGCCCAAAGTCAGCTGGGAAAGGCTCCAGCAAACGCTTGACGCGTCAGGAGGATAAGCGTTACAGGGATTGGATGGGTGACTTGGTAAATCAAAGCATTTTGATGTGTGGAATCTGAACCTTTGCCCTGAGAAAGACCTTGCCACCGGATCCCTCTGAATTATATTTGAAGACTCCTGCTCGAACTCTTGCATAATCCCCCCCACGCCCACAAATAAAACAACACCAAAACTTGCTTAAAACCCTAATGCATCACCCTACTTTGAGATCCTAGCCCTGTCTTGCAACCCTTAATTTGAAACCCTTAGCCAGGCGTGAAACTCCAACTTGGGGCCTGAAATTAAAACACCAAACCAATCTTGGAACCTTACTTAAGAATCATAACCCAGGCCTCAAACTCTAATCTTGAAACTTTCAATTCATCACATTTTAAAATCCAAACGCTTACCTAAAATTCCAAATTTGAAGTCCTAGCCCTTGTGTGAAACCTTTGTAGTTGTTCATGATGACTTAGTGATCAAAGTTATTACAACATAATGAAGACTTACTGTAGTTAGATCCAGTAAGTATAAATGACAGTGTTGAACTACTGTAACGGATGATTTCAATGCCTGACATGGGATCCTAGTTTCCTAAAAGGTCTCATGATTCATTCACACATTTGATTTGAGTCATCGGAGTCGCTGCAATGCTAATTGTCACAGTAGTGCGCCCGCATAAGCTTTGTCAGCATCTCGCTCGGCCTCCTGGTGAGTTGAGTTGAGCCTCACCTCTTCCATGACAAAACTTTTGTGGCTGCTGCTTTCCGTTGGTCACTTCACAATAACAAAGCATCGTCACCTGTGGCTCCCGCCCACCTTTCTCTTTGTGCTCCTCAAAGCCTATCACACAATTGTCTCTGTTGTCTTTAATTAGAATGCTCTGAACAGACCTTGTATCCTGTGATACTTTGAATGTCAGTAAAAATGTTCTTCTCTTGTATTCATTTAGAGTGATCTCCATCATGGAGGTGCCCACGATGCCTCCACCTGTGCCCTTCCCTCGCACTATTTTTAATCCCTCCCTGTCTCCTCTGGGCGCCATGGAGAACCTCCCCCAGAACGACCCGCCACCAGAACATGAAAAGCTCCAGGAGGAGAACGATTTAGAAGACGATGCATTTGGAGAGGATGAAGAGGAGAAAAGTCCCGATGCGATGGTTCCCTCGGAGGAGGAGGTGGAAAAGATGGCGGAGGAGGAAAAGGTGGCGAAGGAGAGAGCGGCACAGAGGCAGCTGATGTCCATCCAGGAGCTGGTGCAGTCTGAGAGGAATTACCTGAGAATGCTGCAGGTCAGCATGCTCACCATCAGGAGCAACCTGCAAAAATTACAGGTACAGCATACAATTGCATGTATCGACGATACATATAAAGAAATACATATCAAATACACGGAAGATCTCACAGCACACCAAGGTTAACAGAGTCACTTATTGATATTCACTGGCCATTACATTAGGCAGGCAGGCTTGAAAGTCTAACCATGGCTTAAAACCCCAACCTTGTCCTCAGACCCGAATTTGAAACCCCGACCACTATTTGGAAAATCATATCATCACACGCTTAAAGCCTTTTAAAAAGCTTTATCACTGTCCGAAGCATCTGTTGAATCGAGTTTTGGTTGATGCTGAGGTCTAATGCAGCCCTCCAGATAGACTTTCCCTGGCTATGCCCGAAATCTCAGCGTTTTCTCTTTTGATAAATGGTGGTCGCAGCAGGCCTTCTGCAGGGTGGTTTGTCAAGAACAGATCTTGTTTCTAGAAACTTGCCACCGATAACGCAAATTGCACGACGCGTTGGAGCAATTTCATGCCGATATAGCTTCTCACAATTATGCTGAAATGCAGTCCGGTACAGAAAAACAATTTTGTAATGCTGCCCCAGTGTCACTTGGCAAGCCATGGGCATAGAAGTGATATGCTTACAAAATCTGTAAAACCTAAGCTGTCAGGCACTGCTCGCCTCACATCTATTCCACTGATACCCAAAACAAAAGAGAAAAAAAGGAACTGTGAAGTGACTTTTGGACAACTTCTTTTTATGTTAAAAAGGGTGATCAAAGAAATAGTCGCCAAAAAGTAGAAATAATAGTATTAGACATCTGAATGAGGAGACGTGATCACAGTTCCTGATTTACAGTCAAAACATCAGCGGCTTGTCTGCTTTCTGCTGCCTCTGTGATTGTCAATCACGGTGAAGGTAATGAACAGCACCGTGAAGCGTAATGGAATCTGGCTTTATGGAAATGATGATGCGTGATGCAGATGCTAATCGACCGTGTGAGAAAAGAATCAAGCGCAGTGCTCCTCAAGCAGAAAAAAACATGTAAGTGTAATGTGGGAATAAGAGAGAATAAACCTAAATATGTTAAGAGTTAATGCTTGTAAAAAAAAAAAAATGAGTGCTGAGGGAATTAACCATTGTGACTTGTGAAGAAGGGCTTCATTGACACAACGTTGCCACTGTGTAGCATTGTTAAATGCTCAAGTTGCAGGCTTGTTTTCAGAGCACAGTGCCAATTGTTCAATGTCTCACTGGTAAGTCCGCCTACTGTTGCCGCATCTGATCTAATCAACAGCAGTGGGCCACATTGCTTCCTTATTGTTACTCATTGAAAGCACTGCTTAATATTGGAAACTGATGTATTTTGTACCATAAGTTGTTAAACTGTTCATATAATGTATGATAAATAGTTGAAAAATGCTCAGTGAGAGGCATTGTGAATTTGTTTTCACTTTACAGGGGGTTCTAGTGAGTCAGTTTTGAGGGGGTTGTTTTGAAATCCCTTAAAGCGGCTGTTATACCGTATTGGCCTGAATATAAGATGGCCCTGATTAAGACGACCCCCTCTTTTTCAAGACTCAAGTTTGAAAAAAGACTTTTTGAACACCGAATAAATATTTATACAGAAAATAATTACAGTGCATCTGAAACAAATAATTATAACAATGTAGTTGAGAGAAAAAGCATGTTATTTTGCCTCATTCAAATTTTAATATCTGAAGATTTAAATATGTAAACTAAAGTGCAATCACATTCGTAACTGAATGGCTACTGGTTTTTGAAATGTAAATTACATCATAACTTCTCCTCAGCTGCCGGTTAACCTGGCCGATCTTTGACCCACTTTTCTCTAGACTGTCGCTACGTTTCTCCATTTTCTGTTATCGCTTCTATTATTTTCTTCTCTTTTCTTTCTTACCGCTATTTTTTATTTTTCTTCTTCGTGCTACCGCTATTTTTCTTTTTATTCTTCGTGACAGGGGTTCGCTTTGGCCTGGTGAGTCAAGTTCAGCATTCGCTTCAATGATATCTGGCGCCATCTAGCGTCGTGAATGGGTATAATGTCTACACCCCGAATATAAGACGACCCCCACTTTTTCAGTCTTATTTCAATGCAAAAAACACCGTCTTATATTCGGGCTAATACGGTATTACCGATTATTGATGTTAGGAGAACAATTTATTCAACCACGCCAATAAAAACAAAAACGTCTTGAGAATAACACAAGAGAGATGTTTTGTTGTTTCACAGTGTGTCGCTCTGTGTGCTGTTTTGTTTGCAGCCTCCGTTGGCTAACCTGGACAGCATGTTCCTGTACGTGCAGGATGTGATGGATGTGTCCAGTCGTTTCCTCAGTCTGCTAGATCAGAAGCAGCCCGGAGAGTCGGTCTTCCTGGAGACGCTGTGTAAGTGGGAGCTCCACAACTTCCATCTATTTTTTTTCCACCAGCATTTTTAAGTTCACACTTCCTGCCAGGAAAGACGCGGCTTTGGGAGCTGGGAGGATTTCCCTCAAAAGCCAAGCTATTGATATTGAATTATCGTCCAGCACTTGGGGCAAATTCACTTTCAAAATGTATTTTTTTCAAGAAAAAAATAGACTTTTTCAACAAACACTGCTTTGCACAGTCGCTTGTTTTCAATTCAGATGTTTTTTTTTTGGGGGGGTCAATTTCAGAGTAGTTGTATATGAGTGAATAACTTTGCATACACTGACAGATAGGAGCGCTCTCTCTCTCTCTCTCTCTCTCTCTCTCTCTCTCTCTCTCTCTCTCTCTCTCTCTCTCTCTCTCTATGTCTCTCTCTCTCTCTCTATCTCTCTCCGTGTTGTGAGTGAACTCAAACTCACCATAAATTCTCCTTGTCTGACTTTCCAACAGGTGACGCGTTCCTCAGCCTGTCCTCCGATATCGAGGCAGCCTACAAGGAGTACCTGGCCAACTACAACCGTGTTACCGTGGTGGAGAACTCCTATAAACAGAAGGAGGCAGTCTGGGAGCAGATTGTCCAAGTCATCAAGACATCAGCGTAAGTTTTTAAACGTTCACAGGCCAAAAGTTCCTGACTCCATGTCCTCACATATGTGATTCCACAGGCCTGAAGTGAATGCCAGTTCCCTGAGTTTCTTTCTGGTGATGCCAGTGCAGCGCATTGCCCGCTATCCTCTCCTGCTGCAGACAATCCAGAAGCACACGGACTCACAGCACCCGGCGTACACGCTGCTGGAAAAGACGGCACACACCTCCATTGCCATAAACTGTCGCATCAATGAGTACAAGCGCTTCCGGGAAGTCGGTGAGAAGCTCTTAAAATAAAACCTCTCAGCAGACTTTAGATAAGGTGACGGGATGGGTTTGAGCTCTTTTTTTTTTTTTTTTTTTTTTTTTTTTTTTTTTTTTTTTTTGTTTGTTTGTTTTTGGCATCCTCACAGCCGACAAGTACAAGAAGAGCGAGACGTTGAGCATCATGGACAAGATAAACCGATTGAATTCACACAGCATTGCTAAGAAAACAGCCAGGATCGGACAGTTCATCAAACATGAGACTGGCATGGTTCCTAAGGTAATACACACATCTCACTCACACACCAAACACACACTTCTTAGCTAAAGATAATACCAGAGATGGGAATCGAGTCATATATGACTTGACTTTATTTACACTCAAGTTGCTAATTTTAAGACTTGCGACTTGCTTTCCAAAAAACTTGGGAACTACTTGATTTGGGACTTGGTGTCTAAGTGACTTGACTTAGGTTAGACTTGAATTACATGACTTGACAAGTCAACTTGTTTATAGTTTTAAATCTGTATTTTAGCACACTTTGCCTTTTTCGGAAGTTAAAAAAAAAGATTTTTTTTAATTGTATTTTTTTTTTTTTTTTTTTGTTACGCTCGCGCAAACCTGGCAAGCCTGACAGCGTCACTTACTGTATGTGTTCTGTTGCAGCTAGTGGACGAGGAATTTGATGCACTAGAAGGCTTCTTTTCTGTCCTTGAGCATGGCACCTTGCAGCTCCTGGACAATGTGGAGCTCTACCTCCATCACCTCCAGGTAGTTACACCTTGCTGGACCAACTTAGCATTGGAATAAATTGACTTGCTGTGATCATCGCTATCGTCTTTGTCTGGTCGGCAGACTTTCCTGGACTGCAAAACGGAGGAGTTTGACCTGGACATGGATGGCGAGAAGGTGCCCATTTGCTATAAGGAGATCACCACTGGACTCAGACAGTGGATCCTACCTGAATTTGTGAGTCACTAGCCAGCATCCACTAATATCACTTCAATATATTGTTGATGATTGATGTCGTCACTGTTAACCTCGCAGGAAAAGAGGATTAGGACGTTGATCCACAAACCTCTGTGTGCACTCCGTGACCTCCTGGCAGGCCCAAGGAACCTGATCCGTAAGCGGCTGCATAAGCTGCTTGACTACGAAATGATCGAGGCCAAGTCTTCCCTCAGCTACGATGAACAGGCCATTGCCAACACATATAGGTGAGGACTTGGTGGTATCTGCCAATACCTCGGCATTTTCTCAAATTAAAATAGAAATGCATATACTGTGTGCGTATGTATACTATACTTGCTAAGGGAAACTGGCAAGGATGAGTCCATCTTGGAAGCACACGCTGAAAATGGCCAAAATGACTTTGAGCAACCAAAATTGCAGACGTCCTGTGTCGTTTCAGACGTAGATTCCTGAGACTTTCATGGCAGCCAAATTTAATATAGCCAAGTGAAACTAATGTGAGTCCTCACAGAGGTGTCGTGGTGCTCTTATTGCAGGACGATGAACACGTTGCTGCTTAACGAGCTGCCCAAATTTAACACCTTAGCGTTGCAAATGATCTGGAGCATGTTGGGAACGTTCAGTTGCCTACACAAAGACCTTGCCTCCGACTTGGAACAGCTCTTCCTGAGCTTCGCTCAACAGGTATCCACCACCGTATGTGAGTCATTGCCGTTAATGGCCATTTTAGACCTGTTCCCAGCATGCATTTCATCTCCTCCCAGCTTCCTCACAGCTCTTTAGACAATGCTGCATTCTGGGAGTGGGCTGAGACTGCGGTGCTAGAAGAGGCAAGAAGGCTGGATACTTTGGGTCAAAGTGTGGAGGAGACGCTACTGCGGCCCGCCTCTCTGGTCTGTACACATCTCAACATCTATTTTCACGCGCTCTATTCGCTTACTGTTTTGTTTGCCATCCTGTTTCTGTGATGAATAATTCATTTTTGGCTGCGGTTTAGAGAAGCATATTGATTTGTTGTTATTTATTTATTTTAAAAATATATATAATTCACGTTCCTTGTCCGGCACCGTAATTCTCTTCTTTTTATTGAGTTGAGTTTAGTTGGTTTTACAGTAGATATCAATTTGAAAGTGCTCAACTCTCAGTTACAGCTAACAGAATGTTAGGAAATTTTTATTTAAAATGAGTAATTAATTTAAAAATACTAATCGACTGTTGGTGCACATTTACAATTAATTTTATAAATTCTTGCATTCATTAAATCATTCATTCTCAGATTCTTCGATGATAGATCCAAAATAAATGAAAATTGATTCACTAGTATTAGTAAATATGAGACCGCAGTAGCGTAACTATAAACCCCAATTCACAATGCATGGAAGAATGTTGGTAACGTGAACCAAATAAGATGCGGTCGGCCATTCTGCTCAGTCACTGGCTCATTGGCTCACATACTCTGCAGGACAGGCTGCGTGACATCACAAGTGACAAGTGATTTTTCTCCCCGTCCTTCTTGCCTGGTTTGGTCAGCCCCTAAACTCGTCCTCGCAGCAGCGACTTCAGCAGTTGACGAACAAGCACAGTTCCGACAAGATCTACCAGGTGCTGAGCGCTGTGGTGGGCAGCCGAGACCTGGACCTCAACCTCGCCAAGGGAGAGCTTGTGGCCGTCATCAGCCAGGCAGATACCCGAGGAGACAAACGAAGGTGGCTTGTCGATGCCGGAGGTGAGTGTTTGGGTGCCCACTGGACACCTACTGCAATTTAAGTATGCCATATATCGGGACTGCTCAACCTTCTTTGACCGAAGAGCTACTTTTCAAGCAGCCAACCTCCCGCGATCAACCTGTTAATGCACGCGCATGCATACATGTGCACACACGTGTTCCATGATGAGCAGCAGCCATAACGGATCCTAAGATGAACGAAACAGAAAAACAAGCTAGATACAAGACAAGACTGAGTTTTTTAAAATGGAAATCACTGCCTACCTTAGTGGGAGACTTGAAATGGGGAGGAAAAGATACACTTCTGTAGATCACATGTACCGTTTTACAATGCTGCTCCTGACGCTACAAATCTCCATTCTTTGACGATGCCATCAGTGAATTGCCACTCAAATAAACTTTGAATGACAATCAACAAAAAATTGATACATCTCCGATCGCTAGCTGCAATTGCAGACTGCTGACCGTTAACAACTTTCTGTGATGCAGGTTATGCGTCACCGCAAGTTCAAGGTGACCTACATTGTTTTATTTGTTTGATACTCTTTTGTGAAACTCAAGGGATGCTTAGGGTGCAGTGTACAACTAATACAAAAATATATAATACTAATAACGCACACACACAATTTTATCGATCCCCCCCCCATTTCCCCCTACGCTCCTTGCGGTCGACTTGCCACCAATCCGTGGACTCCCGGTCGACCACGATCAACTGGTTGGGCACTCCTGTCATCGATCATACTTACAACGAATTCTTACTGAGACAGTGCCATTTATTTGACATTATTTTAGCTTTATATGAGTATTTTTAGCACTTGATTCTAAATAGAGTATTCAATTGAGTGCAGCGCAGTAATGCGGCTCACTGGCGCCATCTTGGGGGTTGAGGTGGCCATCCTTTTGCAGTTATTGACGTTGGAGTATGGACGTTGTCTGTAAGCCAGGAAAGATTACATTTGATATCATGTCACCAATAATAGAGGAAATTAGCACTTGAGTCACTGATTATCGGCAGTCTATTAGGAACATCTTCCAGGATTGTTCACCCTGTAATAGGGTCAGTGCTGGATCTGAATGGGAAGCAACATTGTCATTGGTTGCTATTCACTGCAAAAGCACCCACTTGGGCCAAAACTGGTGTCAGGCTAGCAGCAACTTTTTTTCTGGTCCAGAAGGATGGAACGACTCAAGACCCACATTAAAAGGCTAGAACCACTGACAAACCGAGTCAAAAAATATTTCATGTTAAAAAAAAAAAAGTCAAGGACAATCAAGAATCACATCTATACAAGCGGGATAAAAAAATGATAATTTAAAAAAATTAACTGTTGTCAGAGGCAAAGTCAACACCTACCTGTAAGTCAAGACCTACTTAAAAAAGAGAAAGAGAACAACTCAAAAAACACTTCATGAACAAAGGCTTCGTTCACACACAAGTCATACAACAGCCATAATCATGAAAGACACATCAAAAAAGAGTCTTATATAAAAATGGTCAAAAACTAAGTGAAGAACTGGTCAAAAAAAGTCAAAACTACAAATCAAGAACTCGAGTAAACAACTCAAGTCAAGAGCCAAGACAAGAAATTTGTCATGAGCCAGACACAAGTCATAATCAGTCATAAAACTAGTACTAAAACAGTTAAGACCAGAATAGAAATAGAGAGAAAAATAGTCAAGAGCCGCATCGAGAACCAGTAAAAACAGGTGAAGAACCAAGTCAAAAATAGTCAAAACTAGCAACGAACCTCTCAAAAACCACTCAACAGAAGCAAAACCAGAACCTCCCACCCCTGCAATAGCAAGCTGTGGCTAATGAACTGACTTGTGTGGTTGTGTTTGTGACCGGCAGGCAGACGGGGCTATGCGCCAGCCTCCAGGTTGATCCGCTATCACCAGGCGGAAGAGGAGCCACCCCCCTCACCTCATCTGAACCTCCCGCAGGGCGACGGTGGCATCAGGAGACACTCATATACGACAGAGCTCCCACACACAACCCCAACAGCAGCTGGAGTGGCATTCAGCCAGCCGTGCTTCCAGGTGACCACACTCAACTCACACACTGATACTGTGCAAGTTAATTCAATTACCTTTGTTTACACTGATACACAATCTTTGAACTGCTGAGCAAGGATTCCGGGGCCAAAAAAGCGATGAACATATAAACGTTGACCTGAAAATTAATTAGGAATAAAAATGGTCTTTTATACAAGGATTTACTATTTACAACAGTAAAAGGTGCAATAACCGACCTGGTCTACCTTTGGCCACTATGCGATGTGGGATTCTAGTTAAGATAAGCCATTTTAAATGAAATAGAAACACTTTTCCATCGTTAGAAGTGGAAGTTTCAAATGCAACCAGAACTCATTCGGCGCTGTCAAAGCTGCCTTCAGAAATTCCAATCTGACGCCCCCAAATCACTGATTGTGTGTTTCTTCAAAGAGGAGCACAAGATCCCTTTCCATTAATTTTGGAACACAGCCTACTATATTTTCATGACCATAAGGTGCACTTAAAATCTTCCAAAATGGACCAGGTGCCTTATAATGCAGGTCGCCTTCAATTCCAAAATTTTGTGAATGCTGTTGTGTGATTTCGATGAGCACTCAGGAATAAATCAGGAAAGCTGGAATGTTAAAAAATAGTGACATTTTATCTTCACAAGTGGGTACTACATAGCTGGGGTTGTTTATTGACTGACTCAAGGGCAGAAAGCCAAGAAAACAGCCTGATATTATTACGAAAAGCGTACATACAAATAAATCCCCCTAATAATTCCCATAATAGGCGTCTGGTTGCCTGGCTTTCTGCCCTAGAGTCAATAAACACCCCCAGCTCTTTATAATACATCAATACAGTATGAATACAGCAATGGCATTTGATTATAGTATTGACAATAATATAGTGTTGATGTGGTGCAGAGTCTGAAATTATTCCAACACCAGCGAGTATAGTGACAAGAGTGTGTGTGTGTGTGTGTGTGTGTGTGTGTGTGTGTGTGTGTGTGTG